TGCGCTGTTGGGTTGGTTCCGCGCCGAACGGCTTCACCTCTACATTTTCAACCCCAACGTGTTCTGCATCGATTGCTGACACCAACGCTGCAGTCACGAATGACGCCTCAGCACCCGAGTCCAGGAACACTCGAACCTTCACGTTTCGAGTTCTTCCCTCAACTCGTGCCACTCCGGTCATCAGCCGCACACTTGGCGAGTGTAGACAGCACGACCCAACATTCTTCTCCGTAACTATCTCAGTCGGTTTCTCCCGGCTGTAACCTGCTCTATCCAACACATCATGTATTAGCAGGTGGTGTTTCCTCTGGCATTTCGTGCATCTCGAGCCTGACCGACATTCTCTGGCCATATGGCCATACTTAAGGCAGTTCCAGCAGAGTCTCTCTCGCTGCAGAAAACCCTTTCTCTCTTCCTGTGGCAGCGAGTTTAGCTGCTTCTCTGCATCTGCGACCGATATCGCCATGCACTGTGCCGACGCCGTGGGCCTTGGCACGGATCGTTCTACTGGCTTCCTGGCAGTATCACCCTGTCGTCCGTGCGCGACCTGGTAAGACGCGCCGTGCTCCTGTACCTGGCGCAGTGACATCCCGTAGCACTGCCGTTCGACCAGGTACGTCTTCATCTCAGGTCCACATTGCTCCAAGATTACCTGCTTTGCCATTGCTTGCAGCACCGGGGCCATTTTACCTATATCGGCGCTATACTTGGTGCCCACCTCCCCATCCTCTGTCATAGCGAGTGTGGCCCACACCTCTACCTCTCGGCAAACACGGACAACGTATTGATGAAACGACTCATCTGACCGCTGCTTGCCTGTCAGCAATGTCTTCCACTCTTTATCCGGAGTCTTTCCGAGCGAGGCAAGCAACTCTCGCTTTGCTTCCTCGTAATGGTTGCATCCAATACATATCCTCTCCGCTTTGCTACCCGCTAGCGCGATGCGCAGTCGCAGCAGCCATTCGCTTTCTTCGAACTCGTTCTTGGAACAGATGTCCTCGAACAGGTCAAGATAACGCTCCAATGGCTGCGTTCCATCATATGAGGGGATTTTCATCAACGGTTGACGCCCCTCGCTGTGACTGGGAGATTCCTCTGTACCTCCCATCGCGGCTTTACCCTCACCCTCATGCGCATTGGCGATGCGCTCGTTAATCTCGTTTAAACGAATACAATGCCATAAGCGCGAAGGCCTTTCCCAATTGAGAACTGGTGGTTTGCAACACATACTGAGGCAATAGCAAAGTCACACCTTAGTGGATCCAAAATAGAAATCTGATGTCAATTTACTACTCCCAGGCCGTTTTTGACGTCATCACTTTCAAGCCCTATGCACTCTTCCAGTCAGACATACCGGGATTCGTCAGACGTCGCACAGCCCCCGATGCACTCCTTCGGTGAGCCAGTTCTATAGGGACTCATATGATATTGCACAGCGCATAATGTGCTCGTCGATTAAGACAGTTACACCAGGAATCAACACTGACACTCAGCGCACACTGTACTCATCAAGTAAGACAGTGTTGGGATAGCACAACGCACGATGCGTTCATCCAGTGAGACAGATACAACAGGACATGTCCACCGACACACTATAGGAAGTACACTCATCCAGGAACACAGTTTTACCACACAGTGCATAATGTGCTTGTCAATTAGGACAGTTACACCAGGAATCATCGCCGACACTCAGTGCACAATGCACTCATCAGGCAAGACTGTTGTAACATAGCACAACGCACAATGCGTTCAGTAAGACAGATACAACAGGACTTGTCCGCCCGCACAGTATGCGGAGCACACTCATCCCGAAACACAGTTATGCCACCAGCACACAGTGTGCCATACGCGCGTTCACAAAGATAGCTTCGCTTACACGAATTTGTAGATTCATCCACTGCCGCACAAATATTGCACCGAGGCTGTCAATGGATAATTATACTGGAAGCGGAACTAGTGTAGTACCCTACCCCGCAAAAGTATTGGAATTTCAAACATTGCCTGTAGAGGTGTAAAGAAATAGCACAATTCCTACAAGCAGGAGCATATTCGATTGTACAACTACGCCTGACCAGATACAGTTAATTAAGGAAGCACTTTATACCACACTCTACAAATCGGGCATGGTTGGCGGCGCTACTCTCGTTACAGAATTATTTGGTGCGTGCCGGAGGAAGAGGAAGGGAGAGACAATATCCATTATATTACAGAGGATGCTTGGAGTACAGAAACAAGTAATTTCATTCACGAGCGCAACAAAGCTCGAGCGGAGCCGACTGGAGTACACTACGGCACCAATCTGTCAAACCTATGAGAAAAGCATACAATAAAATCAACATATCTGGAAAGTCACTGGCGGCAAGGCACAAGCCACAATGCAGAGGACAATGTTACCGGGCTTGATGTTGCGGCTGCGTCGAGACCATTGCTGAAGCACATTCAGCCGAGGCACTATTTCTCGGAGCCATCGCCGCCATACCTCGCGTAGGAGCTGTTGAAGGAGCCACCAACGACGCTGTGGGTGCAACTCAGCGACTTCTTCGAGTGGCAGAGTCAGCTCGCACTGTCCATCTAGGAAGTGCATCGGTGTTAGCGGTGCGGCATCATCCACGTCAATCCGGACAGCGGTCAACGGGTGCGAGTTGAGTAGGCCTTCCGCACTCACCATGGCAGTTACAAGTTCCTCATCAGTGAGATTGGCCTGGGACCGAGTTGCCATCATTGCGCACTTTGCTGCCTTGACCACACACTCAAATACGCGTGCGGAGCGAGAGGTGGATTAAAGCGTCAGTGAACTCCTTGGCTGGCCATACTTGCGGCCACTTCATTAGAACCTAGCGCTTGATCAGCTTCTCTTAGCTCGCGCTCTGCACCGACAAAGTTCGTCCCGTTATCTGACACGACCTCAGCTGGCACGCCTCTGCGCTTGCAGAAACGGGTGAATGCTAGCAGAAACGACTTGGTGTCCAGGCCATACGCCATCTAGAAATGACAGGCTCAGGATTGAAAACAAGAGAAGACACAGAGGTACCTCTTGAGCTGGGTCTTGCCGCGTCCTTGTTTTGTCCGGAACGGACCGGCATAGTCAACTCCCACTCTTGAAAAACGCCCGGTACGGTGGAGCTGCTCGGAAAAGCGGGAGCGGTGCTATCTGCTGCGAAGCCACAGTGGCCCACTTCTTCTTGCAGAGCACGCAGTGTGCACGGTGAGATCGTGTGACAACCTTGCCACGGATGATCCAAAACCGCAGCATCAGGTTTGCCAAGAGGTGGTTTGGGCCCACACTGTGATCACACTTGCAATCATCGGCGTCGACTACCAGCTGAGTAATCCGATGGTGCTGGGGAAAGATTATCGGATGCCGGGTATGCTCAGGCAAGTGGCTGGTAGTCTTCAGACGACCTCCAACGCAGAGCACACACGGGTAGTCCTTATCGAGCACTGGATTCAGCCGTAGCAGCGGGTCATTCGCTGCAAGGGACCTGACGTCAGCAGCCGATACGAAGCGGGATAGCTCTCTGCTTGTGCAATCGCATACCAGTGACATTCGGCACGCTGGAGCTCCTCAGACTTCAGCTCCACAGAGTCGACTGCTGTACTTGCAGCTTCCGGATCCCCTCTTGTGCTAGCATGATGTCGACGACAGCGGTTGATGAAACGGTAGCACCAGGCCATCAATCTTATTAGTCGTTTCCATGACGAGTAGTTGTCGGGGTGGAGACGAAACACCTCTCCTGAAACTTGCTGCACAGCGAACGCCATCACTTGCGCTCGCTTTACCATTCCGGGCAACTCTTTTGGCATGGTTATCTGACGAGACGGCCACTCATTGTGCTGCTGGACGAGGAACTCGGGGCCGCTCCATCATACTGAATCACTGGCTAGCTTGGCTGCTGTCAAGCCTCTGGTGCTCTTGTCGGCTGGGTTCAGCTTTCCAGGAACGTGGTTCCACTGGCTGCCAGCTAAATACTCTTGTACTTCAGCTATCCGGTTGCCCACGTCGACTTTAAACTTTCTGCAATGTGCTCTCACCCAGTGAAGCACGTTCATCGAGTCGGACCAGTAGGTGGCATCAGCCTTCGGCAGATCTAGCTCGTCATTCACTGTCTGGGCCAGGCAAACACCAAGCATAGCACCCTTCAGCTCCAGCTTCGGGATCGACATCTTCTTAATGGGACATGGACGAGTGCTAGTGTCACTCGCACATTGCCATCTGGGTACTCAGCAAGAACGTACACGTTAGCGGTGTAGGCGGCATCTGAAGCATCCCTGAACACGTGCAGCGACAATGTAGCGACAGACGACTCGCGACCCGGACACTTGAAGCAGCGCGGCGCACGGATCAGCGCCAGATCTCCCAGCTCGCTAAACGAGGATGTCCATCTCAGCGTGTGCTCAGCATCCAGTGGATCATCCCAGCCCACGCCGAGGATGCACAGCTCCTTGAACATGACACGAGAGCGAATCGTGAAGGGAGCTAGTTGTCCGCGTGGGTTGAATATAGATGCCATCTTACTCAGCACGGCTCGCTTGGTCAGCTTCTCTGTTGCAGGCGGCTTGAACTCAAAGGCGAAGGTATCATCCTCTGCCGACCACATCACGCCTAGCATCTTGACTGATGGTAGCACACAGTTATCATGATCATTGATGCTGCTATGAGCTGCTGTGAGCGGTCAGCTTCCGGTACGTCGTCCATCACCTCCGAGCTATTGCTGAGCCACTTGCGGAGGTGGAAGCTGCCCTGCTCAAGGCTGTCCTGTACTGTCTGCTGTGTGCGGATGGCTTCCGGTACGGAGACAGCAGAGTGCAGCAGATCATCCACATACATGTCTCGGTCAACGATCTGCAACATGGCTCGGTCATACTTGTTGGCTGTTTCGCGGCACACCACTTGTAGCGCCTTGCATGCCAGGTACAGAGACGCCTTGATGCCGAACACCAACCTCTCGAACTCGCATACGCGTGAGTCCCACACAAAGCGATGCTATCGGCGGTCTTGCTCAGCCTTGCAGGAACATCTCGTTAATGTCCGCCGTGAGCACTACTGGCTCCTTGGGGAACCGCAGGAGCACTTTCACTAGGTCATTCTGCAGAGCGGGTCCAGCGTACATGCACTCATTGATCGACGTGCCGTCATACTTGGCAGCAGCATCAAAGACGACACGTACCTTCGTGGTGGCCTTGTCATCTCGTACAATGGCGAAATGCGGCAGGAACCACTGGTCGTCGCCATCTGCCTCAACCTCTGCTGCCGAAACTGCGCGCACATAGCCTTTGTCAATGTAGCTACATATGACTTTGTCGTATGCTGCCTTCATTTCTGGACGCTTGTCCAGCGATTTCCCTAGCATACACAGGCGATGGTCTGCCATGGCGCGATTAGCGGTGACACCAGGCTCGCAGTTGCTGTGGATCCATGGGACTTCCATGGTGACTCGCTGATAATGGAAGCTGATGGATTTCTGAACGATCTCCTCAGCCAGCTTTTCTGCAGAGGTGATGTAGGTGCCTTCGTGCTTCATACCGACTGCCTCCAGATTCTGGACCAGGCTGTCAATGCTGCATTCGCTGTATAAAGCATGCACATAGTTGACGGACAACTCGTCATCACTGGGTGCACTGGGCGTTGGGCCCATACACACCCATCCCAGTGGCGTCTTGCGGGCAATTGGTCCACCGCTGCTGCTTCTGTACTCCGCGAGTGATGCGTGGGCATCGATGACGTCTAGTCTAATCAGGAGGTCGACCATGGCGCTGGAGATTTTGGGGAAGTCTATGAACTTCAGATGCTCATAATTGGATGTGTACCGGCTCCAGTCGACGACCTGCGTCTTCCTGGTCACACGATCATATACGCATGCCTTGAGCGGGTAGGACACAGTTCCATCAATGGATTCCATCTGCACCTTGACCAGTTTCCGAGAGCTGGAGGTCTGCTGTGCACCAATCGTGGATGTGTTCAACATGTGAACTTCACCTGCCATGTCCAACTCATGGGCTACATCCTACCGTATGAAGCTTGCAGTCGAGCCTGAGTCCAGCATGGCTGTACAGATTGTCGACTTGCCAGTTGGGCCAATAAACGAGAGAGCTTGGAAGCTCAGGGCCCTACGCTATGCTTTTTTTGCCTTGATGACCTAGACAAAAAAAGCATAGGGATGTTATAAATTCTTTAAAAAATTCCTTTTTTTAAGACATAACCTGGGATTCGAACCCGCACTATCGCGCCCTGCATGCATCCCCCGGTCTTTAAAAAAATCCTTTTTTTAAGACATAACCTGGGATTCGAACCCGCACTATCGCCCTGCATGCATTCCCCCATACACTTCGCATACATACCCATTCTTCCAAGTTGCTTCGCATTATGATCTTGCATTTGAAAGCCCTATTTGAATATGCATTGTGGCCAGCCGTCTTTGATGGTACGGTACGGTAGGGATAGGTACGGGACAGGTACGATCGAGGGTAATACGACACCGTCTCCCGTACCTTACCATCAAACACAGCTGGCCACATACAGCTGCCCGCAATTTTCAAATAGGGCTTTCCAACGCAAGATCATAACGTGAAGCAACTTGGAAGAATGGGTATGAATGCGAAGTGTATGGGGGAATGCATGTAGGGCGATAGTGCAGGTTCGAATCCCAGGATATGCCTGAAAACAATAGGAGAATTGAAAAATTTATAACATCCCTACTCGGTAACACTGCCCTGTTATCACCTCTATTCTCACCTATATCCGTTAACTCTCCCAAAACAACTCAATACCATTGTCCCAATGCCACGTCTTCACTTCGCACATATGCACTAACTTCCACACTAGCATCAAATATCTAGGCCTGCTCGTAGAGAATTCGATAGTGAATGCTGCTGTCTGATGATCGCTCCGATGCGTGAAACTTTAAGTTACAGCTAACACAGCCTTTCGCCTCTGTTGTGTGTGTAACGTCCCTATGATTATTCCCGTCAGATACGGGATAGCGCCAGGCGTGACACAAACAAACACACAAACAAACAAATACCAAATTAAAGCTGTGTGGACCCTCGCTAGCGCCAGACGTTACTGAAGTAACGTCTTCTGCATAGCTATGGGAATAATCTTCACTGGCACGGTAGCGAAAGCGGTAGTCTGCGGCACGCTGACACTAGCATGGTGAGAACTTTCCTGCCGAGGTGCCGGAGCTGCTGACCGCATCGTAGCGGGATTCTGCGCTGCAGCTTGTTGTGGCTGCACTGACTTGCTGTAGTGCCGAAGTGAGTGGTGCCTCTCTCCACAGTGGGAACGTTCCAGCTTCTGGCACTCACGCGCCCAGTGTCCATGCTCCAAACAACAGCTACACAGCTTGGCATGCTTGACCAGGTCCCAGCGGCGCTTGGTTGTCAGTAGGGGTCAAACGGGTGTACCTTTAACTAACGAACGGGTAATTTTCTTACCGGGCGGGTAAACGGGTACCCTTTAGCAGCCATGTTTAATTTTTGCGCGTTTTTTACATAAATAATGATTTTAATTTACATTTGTATCTGGTCTCCGGATGCATTTTGATATCACATTGTGATTCGCGAATTTATTTGTGTCTGATAGTTGCAGAGGCAGACCTACTAGGTGCGAAAATGCAACAACAATGCATGCAGACATCCAGGCCGGCAGGGTGGAGTTGTAAATAATTGATTCCCGCCGGGAATGCGCGATCCCAGCGGTGTTGTTCAGTACTGACTGGATCATCGAAATCCAAACGGGTACCCTTTTACTAACGGTACCAGAGATTAACGGGCGGGTACCCGGGTACCCGGAACACCCCTTTGACCCCTAGTTGTCAGCGCCCTGAATTCCGGACACTCTGCTGTGGCATGGCTCTTGCTGAACTTGGCACACTGCTGAGTACTGAGCTCCACAGCATACACAGCAGATGACCTAGGCTTTGGCGGGACCGCAGGAGGTGTCTTCTTCAACTTCTCTGTGCCGACTGTCGCCAAGATGTCATCGGCTCGCGTTCTGGACCCGTTTTACCAGCCAGAACGACAATGTGCTTGCGTTGCATTTGCTGTCTGGATGTGGTTCGTAAACTTGTATAACTACACTTCTGGGTAGCTCCCTACCAGGGGTCTCTCCATCCAAGTCCAGGTTCATGAGCACATTTCTGAGCTTGACAGCAAATTTCCGCAGGGCTTCTGAATCACGGTCTGCGATTCTGGGATGGTTCAGGATTGCCTTCTCCTGTAGTGCCAGGATGCGGTCTTCTCCCCCATGCCACTGGTCAAGTTCTGCCCAAGCAGCAGCGTATGCGCCTGGCCCGTCAAACATCTGGGCCACAATGTCCTCAGCCGAGCTTCCTTGGAGCGCTTCCTTTCGCCTAGCCAGCTTATAATCGTCGGATACGTAGCGATCCTCATCCACCAGCCGCTTGAACGATTGACTCCACCGCACAAACTGTTGTGCATTTCCGCTAAACTTGGGCAGCTCCAGCGGCTTCAAGTGGTGTAAAGCACTGACCCCATGCGGGCGTTGCATACTGACAAGCTAATCATGCACATGGGCTCCACAGCAGGTTCCGGATGAGGAGACCACTCAGAAAGTCTACTCATTGGAGCACTTTAGCCAACTAATGTTGCTCTGCTTCTCAGACTCCGTTGCGTGTACGTGGTGCTGGGATCGGTGGCACAGACCGCATGTGCGGTGGTGTTAACGGTGGCACAGGGGTTACCTGTTCTGCGACTGCTGATTGTTGGCCTGATGCCACTTGGCCAGAAACAGACTCAACAGGCGAATCCAAAATCCCCTCAGCAGCAGCCTTTCTCCAACACTCTCCTTACCAAACTTCGCCTCCCACTCGTCCAACTCATTCAGCAGTTGTTCACTCTCTTGGGATTCCAACATGCTGCGCATAATTTCTAAAACCAAATTCAGCTCTGACCGTACAAATTCCAATTCACGGACGTCAGGCTGCAAATATCGGCGAGACGGCGACGAGCAAGCAATCAGTGTTCGCAAGCGGTTACTTATCCGCGTGCGGCGTCTACGAAGGTTTGTTCTGCGACAAATCAATTCTTTCCAGCGGTCCTCAAGTTCCTCAACAAGAGTTTCACCCACGCACGTACCATAATAGCGTGGCGTAAAACTACTAGTCACAAACTCTGGTGGTGGCGGAAACGCCATTACCATCGCTGGCACTACCAGCAGAAACCTGTCGGATCCGGCTCGAAGGACCAAATGTTTCACCGGTTCCCTCGCAAACGCACACTGACATTAGACACAACCATTGGAGGTATCGATCTATTTAGAAGACTGTATTACCAAACATGTTCTCAAAACACCATTGAAGAATCTAACTAAAAAAAAAAACAAAAAAACGGAGAGCTGGGGACGCACGTACCCGGCCCCGTACCGGACACACAGCCAAGGAGGACGACACCTATCGTCCCCACGCTTGATTGGCAAAGAAAACAGCAAGCAAAGAAAATCGGCCAGCGGGCGCAGTTCAAACATCTTGAGCGACATGCGCAAAGCAAAAGATGTGACAGAAAATAATGCATGATGTCATCTGTACTCACGCGGACATGCAAAAAAGGTCAAATCTACACAAAAGCGAGTGCCGCAAGACACAGCACAAATGAATATTAATTCAAACAGCGAAGAACTAGAAAGGCAGATTTTCTAATTATCGAAGAACAAGAATGTATCGTAGAGTCCCAGCGCAACTGCCGGAGGATGCTGGCACCCACCAGACGAGTGGTGGCTGCCCCTGCCAGAGAGATAGAATGAAAACTGAAGTAGAGGAGCCACGTTACAAATAGTGAAATGCACAAGGTAAGAGGAAAATTGTTCTTTACGTCGTATATTCTACCTATATTTGATTACTGTGACACAGCGTGGTGCGGTCTGTCTCAGGCCCTTGTTCAAACTCTGGAAATACACCAGCGTCTGCTTCTAAAAATCCTGTTTCGCAAAAATCAAACATTCTCCTCCCAACGTCTCTACAGTTCAGCTTCAGGAGTTCAAGCTTCAGCTTCTTCGTCCTAAATAATCTCACCATTTTCGTCATGCCTCCCCTTGCAGTACTCTCTTTGTTTCTCTCCTTATTATTCAGTTCGCCGTGGTTGGCTACCACCCGACTTCTCATATGTATTGGCAGTCTTCTGACGAGCCAGGAGATGTTGAATTAATAATAAGAATAATCGAGCAGTGTCCAATTACGACATACTGAGTAATATACATGTTAAACGAAGACAAACACTAACAAATGTAGAACGTTCCAACACTAAGCCAAGTGTGAAGACGTACTGGAAAGGACCGACTTACAATGACAATAGATGTGATAACAACAGCGGATTTTAGACAACGTGGAAAACCGCGTAATTAAACCAGAACTTTTAGACTAGAGAAGCTAAAGTGAGAAGCTCCATGAAGAATAATACTGGAGGAGACGCAGCTGAAGGGACAATGAGCGTCACCAGGCCATGAGATGGGTACTGTGATGTCACGTAGAGGAGAGATAGACATGGGAGGGGACAACAAAGAAAGAAGCCCAGAATGGTACTTCATTTATCAAAAGCCATTTGTCCACGCATGCTACTTGTCGGGAGTTGTACTGTAATGACGTTTTCTCAGTACTGTCACGTGGTAGAGGTCCATTGCATTCCGCTGTGTTAGAAGCGTTGTACAAACTTTAGTTTTAACCTGAGCTTTGTTTCCAGAAAGAAAATGTGTTTGTCTGTACAATTGTTCGATGCTATTCCTCGTCGATGTGTGAATAATGCTACATAATTTCTTCACTACGCTGTTGGAGTTATATCATATCTCCTTCTGAGAACTCAACCTTGTCGCGAGAGTTATATCTCAGGACATTTTCGCTATTATGTTGTAGTATTTTCATTTCAGCCATTCCCTGTATAATCCTGGAGAGAAAGGGAAGAAAAACGATTCATACCTCATGTGAAATGTCTTCTGAACTGGATGCGTTAATTGCGAAAATGTACGCGAACTTGG